ATAACCCTAAGATACAAAAAACCAGCAGCTTCTAAGTATTTTCCATCAAAACAATTCCACTTTTGACTTTGTCTTTCACAGAACGATCAAATAGTTAGAAGCATTGCAAATTCCGACAGCATGTTGAGCTGTCCGGGATGTCGAACATTAAATGTGTTCCATGTGCACTTCTCAACACTGTGTTGGAATGAAATGGTTCAGTAGTTTATTTTCTATGAACATTATAAGGTTCACTTCCAGATTCTCAGTTACATTGCTCCTATTCGCACTGAAATCGTTTCTCTCAGCTACGATGACCTTTCTCACCACGACATGAATCAGTTCACTTTACCACAGAATTAGTTTTCAGTGAACCGAAAAGATTGATGCCACGGACAAGCGAACAAACTTGTTTTTTTTTAATTTATCGCCTAACGCATTCACGTAAAACGTTTTATTATTCGTAAGGTTGTCGAATTTGCACTAGATCGCGTTGCAAGTGTGTGTGCGCGTGTGTATGTATGTATGTGTGTGTCTGTATGGGCTAAATGTTCACGGTGTTCAGCGTTGATTCAGACGGAGCGGTTGCGCTTGCCATATCCCGCAGTCCGCCCATGGAACATTTTCAATATGCCCATATCCACCGGGAACCGATTGCTTTCCTGTTGTCTCGTTTCTACTGACGGTTACCTTGGCGCCACATGTGTGAAGATTGGAGTAAAATATCCAAAAATACACATTCACAAGCATCGTTCACGATCGCATGTCGGGAGACGTTGCACGCACCCACACTGGTAAACACATCTCATGCATACCGGTCGCAAACAGCATTGTCTTGCCGTGTTCAAAAACGGATCCCTCAATTCCTCCTAATGAAAATAAATATATCCCCCTTGAGACTCACCTTGTTATGGGGAGCGATTTATTCACGAAATATTCAGTCGTAAATTTAGACTATAAGTTTTAACAATCTGACCCTGAAGACGAATAAGTAAAAAAACGATTCTCCGGTAAACAACCATTTCTCCGAATTCAGCGTTTTCTTGAAGTGTGTATCACCTCTACTGTTTCACGGAAACCGTATTAACCAAACTCATGCGTTTTTATGAATACCTGTTTCGTTTATTTACACGGGATCCGTATTTCTGAATTATTGCGGCACACCCATTGGGTTTGTTGTTTTTCTTCTGGTGCTTTTTCACCGTAACCCGTCTTCTACCTCTATACCAGCATAATGGAGTTTTACATGCGCGTTCCTAGAATGTGAAATTATACTAGTCGACTGTTTACTTATACTACTGCAGGCGACGGGAATTTCAGTATCCCTTCTTGGGTAGTATATCAGTTTTTTGGGTCCTGTTTCTTGCTTGGATTATTTCTGTGTAGATTTTGTCCAGTTTCTTATTGTAAAATCAATTTCATTTATAATATTTTGTGCTATGGCGATAGAACTACTTACTCGAGTGACTAGTACGAGTTGCTGTCCAATGGGTGGTCCAAAGTGCCTAAACAGGAACAAGTCAAAACTGACAAAACTGAGGAGATCAACTGTAAGGTGTTTGTAACACATTTCGCCAGGTTGCATATCATGAGATTCAAAGCGCATACCCTTATCAATAACACAGATGTATCTGCTAATTTTTGATAAAATCCTCTCTCAGTTATTGATTCAGTATTTCAACAAATAATAAGAATACCTTCACCGTTTCAGATCAGTAAACCCATCGGTATTGGGATCAATACCACGCCCAAACTATCAGGACCTCATCTAGTTCGTTCGGTTGCCGGTTTCTATCACCGAACAACACGTGTCATCAAATAACAGTTCACCCGTTCGCATTACTTTCTTTCTGTCTCTGTGTTTGACGGTTTGCTAATCCGAGTATAATGTTGCATCACAACTTCATTGATAACAGGACCTAACAAGCTACAACGACTAACTTTTGTTTGAGGGCATAATCGTTCTCATTACGCTGAAATACTTGATTCAGTTGGTTGCCACAGGATACTGTTCGTTCCTTCTTAAAATCCAGGATTCATCACATAGTAAGATATGCGAATTATCGGTGTAGTATTATTGGATGTCAATATTAGTTTGCCTGTGATCAGATCCAGTAGGAGGCGGAAATGGGACAGCATATTGCACAAGCGACGGTTATTTGGCTACAGGCTAGTCAGTTTTGAATGCACACATGCTGAGAACGTGCAGCTGTTCAACTATAATAATCCTTAATCGATGGGTTAAGTGTAACCAACTTGATAGCGTTCAATGGCCTTTCGCTCGCCCAATGGCGTTCTCTTTGCATCGGGTCCTTCAGATTTTGTAACTGAGAATGAGATAAGGAATTCAGAATCACCTGCTTTATCTTTTGATACTTCTTTGCCAAAGCCGTCTTAATTCGACCTTCTAGCATGCATGACGCTTCCATCGTCCCATATAACTTCCATTATCACTATTGAGGGTAACCGACCCGGTTTTCCACATTTCATTTAAAACACGGAGCTTGGCGTAGATGGTATCTACCTCAATCAAAGTTTGTGAACACCACCGAACATCCACATTTTGTTTTATGGTACAATCAGTTTGGTCAACTAGATCGATGTGGTGTCTAATCGNTCGATTGAGGTTTGTCCCATTATGGCTTAAGTTGTAATGTGCAGTTGCAGTAAAACTCATCCAATTTTGCTTGCTCATTTCTTTTACCGTGGAATTTTTTCATGCGGTAAAGGCCACCAAATTATCACGACTGAGGGGACGTAGGTACGAAACCCAACACCAAACTCCGACTTTCCTATTTTCTGTGTATTGTGTGAGGGGCCATTCGATTGGTCACTTCTCTCTTCTTGAAATTTGTATCATTATATATTCCATTAAATGGAGTAAGGTAAACATACTCAGGGGGTGATAACACGGGGTTAGTCCTCTAATCCACGCTTGGATCGTCATGCTTGTAAGCATTAAATCAATATTAGCCACTGCATGCTCGGTCCTTCAAAGGGTGCAAAAGTATTTCTTTGCATTCGACCAACGTTCGTCCTTGAGTTTCCGTGGTGGGCAGAGCTTATTCCTCGTAAATCTTGGAACCGGTAACGCCGTGAGAAAACCTTTTCAGATCGACATTACCGGCATTCTTCTATGGTCGACCCACCGTATAGTGTTATAGTGTGCTCTCCCAGCCCTGCATTTTGCGGCTGCAGCCAGTAAAACATCCACCTAAGCGAGTTATTCATCCACTTCTGTTGGCTACTGATTTCTGGCCACGATAGGACTCGGAGGGTATCAGTAATAAGGTTGCATTTTCCGCTACTATATTTCAAACAGTATCGATGTTTTATTCATTTAAGTAACTAGCAGTGCATTCACGATGCGAGCACTTGTAGAGTCAGCTTATTTCTCTGAAGGTTCCTCAGAAGCGCGCCATGATGTGTGCGGATATCAAACGTTTACCGTGTGACGTACTGTGAAAAACGCCTAACGATAAATATAGCAGTTTCTTCTTTCTGCCTTTATCGTTGAGATAATGTCCCGGAGAAATGAGTAAAAGGTTTGGAGGCAATCCAGTTTCTCCATTCGTATTAGTACGATTACGCTGAACCAAGGGTAGCTCTGTCTCCCGCTGAACCATAAAACATAAATAATCGGCTCTGCGGGACCTATTGCCCATGATTTCCCACTGCCAACAACGGCTACATAGAGAGCATTTTGCGCTGAATGTGTGCGTTTTTTGAAGTACTTGGTTCCCTTTATTCGTTGCATAAGAACCCTAGAGGGGTTACGTATTGAAATCGGCTTTGTTCAATCTAAACATTCGCTTACCGGAAACATACATACACACATATAGTTGTTAAATCATAGTGAACGGAGTTATACAGGAGGTCAACTCCGCCAACTGACTGCGTGAATTGATTTTGTCAGTAGTATTTGGGTTTATCGGGCCGAATTGACTGAACCAAAGTAACCATGGTTGACACACCATTTAACTTTTACACGTACACAAATTGCATACCAGCTAACCCAGTTGTTTAGTTAAAACTAACCGTCACTGACTGAACGGCTACCAAAGTGGTTGGTTAGGTCGGTGACCCAACCTACATCTAGTAATCAGGCGGTCTAGTGGATCCCGAGATCGTCTTTTGCACTAACCTGTTCTGTTATTGATCCCACATTCCATCGCCCTATCTATATTTACTTGGTTCATTCACTAGGTTTTCCAACTTGTGTTTTGTGTATCTTTGTGCCTGCATGCTTTGGCATCATTGAACAAGGATTTCAAGCGAAACAATAACATCTCGCTGCATGTGTCCTCTTTCAGTATTCTTTTTTCTTCAGTAGCGCGCCCATATGTAGTTTATTCTTCTATAGTCCCAATATAATATTCCATTCCACCTACACATTGTTAGGTCAAAAACAGTTGTTCGCGATTCAAGTTTGCTATTTTTGTGGATTGTTTGTGTACAGGGACGAGTAACATACTGCAACAGGTCAACGTAACGACGGAACTTACATCAAACCACAAATGAACACCTGCTGTGTATACTTTTCGTTTAATTCGGATTTAGGCATTTTGCTGTACATCATTTTAAATGGTTTCTATGAGGATATGAAAAATAACCAAACATGCATGTTTGCCGATCATTGTAGTTGAGACAAAATACACTCTGTGCTTTATATTCCTTGTTGAATTTTTCACAGACATTAGACGTAATACTGCCTATGTTTGCAGTGGAGATCACTGTTTTTTCTTTCTATTTCGCATCACATCAATGATGTACATCTTTGCATCGCCAAATTTGTTGCATCCCAACATTATGAATGCACGGATTTGATCAGAATAAACTCGGCGCAAGAATCCATGGGAGAGTTGGGTTAACGGATATTTGTACAAGTCGGTTATCTATGAACTTCAATAAGGACGAGTTAGTGAACGCATCACAAGCCTAGCAGCTGAATGTTTAGGACCCTCAAAAACCACATTTATTCCCCTTTCCAACCATTGTCGTTCTTGTTATCTCCAATTTAGTGTTTTTGATGTCAGTGGTCAGCGTGGAGCACGAAAAAAATGGATCCAATTTTTCGACAGCGTCACTGCTATCCTGTTCGTTGTCGACTGTGGTAGTTTCGAGCAAACCTTGCGTGAGGACCACAATCAGAACCGACTGATGGACTCATTAGAAGTATTTGAACAAGCCTGGAGTAACAAGTAAGTCTGTTCTGTTTGCGTGTGTGCGGGTCGTGTAACATTTCCATCCACATTTGTTTAAGTATATGAACGCGTCGGGGATGGGTCAGTCACTTTCATGGGATCAAACATTTTACAACTGTATTGCAGTTCCCATGTTCACTGTATGCGTCCTTGACCCTAACGATTTTGGAACTCGACCATGTTACTTGTATGACCCAATTACACGTCTCTCAGCAATTTCTCTGATCCAATGGGGGCGGTCTTTGCGAGCGGAGTTTCTACTGTCACGATAGGCAAGTATCTAATCAACTTTACTTTTGCCTAATGCGTCTGTCTCAGTTTTCTGTGGCACCCGTACACTCTACCGGGTGTTTGGTCAACACAAGTGACACGACAAGTGCACTTGAGTGGGATAAATTATCTTGCGAGAATTCATCCAAGTCGACTGGAAACAAAACCCAATTTAGAGATATGAATTTGAACGAAGAAGACAGCAACGTGTTGTTGTACGACTTGTGCCCGGGGTTTCGGTTAAATTGTAGCCGGTACTAGCTGATACATGGGTTGGTCAGATTCTTTCCAGTGTGTAGATCAATGAACTGGGAAACGAATCGCATTTGGACGATGAAAAATACCGGTCGATTGTCCCTTTCAGTCTGCGTCCTCTTTACGCTCTCCCTCGTAAACCCGCATAACTCGCGGACGAACGAGAACCGATACCTCTCCGACCGCCTCGTGTCAGTAAAATGCTCACTCAACTTTTACTATGCGTAGCAGCGGTACCGCAGCTAGATCTATGAAGAACGCGCCACAATGAGGGTATCACAAAAGTGATCAGACCGTTTGGTATCAGATGGAAGGATTACTTGTTGCAAAACTAGTCAAACATTAGACACAGAGATCACGAAAAGGTCAATAAGGGGATTCGTCTGTATGGTGTCTTGAATGAGGTCAAAAAGAGGACGTGCAAGGGTGAAACAATATAACTGTTCAGAGACACCCAAACGCTACACATAAATACCATCGATCAGCCACCTCTAGTTAGCGGAATGAAAGTAAATCGGACCGCAGCATTCCTGTCTAATCATCTCTAATCTTTGCGAATAGAAACATAATGAACTGATTGTAATTCTGCCAAAACAGATCGACAGGGCAACATGAGGTGGGTACATATCGATACAGTATTGCGTCTAAACCGCCGGAAAACCTGATCCGTGACGCAATGTCCAATGAGGGTCGGCTATCATCAGCTAGACAATTTGATGTGGCCTGTTTCCAAACATCAGCACACCTGCGTGCCGAAGAGTCATAAGTGCGTTTTTCGGATTGATGCTTAGTTGGTGTACTCGGCCATCATCGGTTCGTTTCGATTAGCGTTGATCCGATCTTCCAGGTGCCACATGTTTGTGTCAAAATCTGTTGAACGCTTTTGGATATTTTTAGGTTTATATCAGAATGCAAGGGTCCAAAACCAGAGGGGTATTTTGCTGGGTCTTGCTACATTCTTCTAGGTTAATAATGTGCCTAGTTCATACAAAACTAACTATTTTAATTGCATCAAACTGGGAATTTAGCTCCTGAACTCATTTCTAAAATTAGGTACATAGTTTTGGTTTGCTGCAGTGGATTTTCTCACTCCGACGACGGGTTTTGTGCAACTCAACAATATTGCGAATGGCAGAAACCATGGCATCGAACGTTATGCCCCTCTGCTAACTTAGAAACAATACACCCGCATACCGAATACATTTGTTTTTGGGTATCTCGGGGGTTGGGTGAGGGTTGAAGCGGTCGGTGAGGAAAGCACCATCAATTATTCTCCGCTGGGGAATTTATCAACGAACGTCTAATAGTGCTAAAACACTGTTCTATTTAAATGTCGGATTACTAATGGAAAACTGGAGAGTAAAGATGGCGAACGCCATTCGGTGCAAAGAACATCACAACTTGTAAACACAAACTATGAGCCTCCATGTAAGATAGAGACTTCTGGTATACCGAACTGCTCAACTTGTTTGTAAAAGCTGTTGTGGTTATGATACGCATATGAGTAACCTCGATCCCGTTGAAATAAACGACGATTGGGTAATACACAACTTTTATTCCGACTATCCCCATGTACCCTGTTTCTCTGTTTTAACTATGATTTCCTCAGGGGTCCTAAGATCTGTGGATGGTATTATCGGGGTGACAAGAATAAACGTGATCGATGTGGGTACCAAGATATCTGACATGTTACGTGTAGTAGGAGTTCCGGCTTAAGCATACAGTTTCAATGCACGCACAGAATGTTAGTAGGGATATGGACGGTAGGGGCGTATGGCATTCAACGTGTTGTGAGAAATGACTGTGACCCACAAAGCTCCTTTGCTTTGAGTGTTTGGGTGGAACTATGATCATTTTTGGTCTAATGAGATATTTGGGATCAATAAATGATTGTTTTCTGAAAATTAATTACTTCTAGTCTGTATATCAGTTAGATCAGACTCAGTAGGTAGAATATAGCCCAAAGTGAAATATTAAGACACCCTAACTGTTTTGGACCTATGGCAACAAGTATGGTATTTGTAAGTAATTAGAGCATGATGTGGAACGAATAACGGGGTCTGCATAGACCTCCGTATGCGTGTAAGGTATATGCTTCAAAAGGGTGTTTGACATAAATTGTGAACCACTTCTCGTTACAAGTGCTGGTTGACTGAAACATTCAGAAAGTATGCATTGATCGTGTTGACACACGCAAACTGAATTCGTCACATTACTGATGCCGTTATTTACAGAAAAAAGACACTCAAACGACTCCGTTCTGTAGTGGTGCTATCCCTGATCGATTTACGTTCGGGATAAGTAGCTCGGGCGATAAAAGATAAAGAGAAAACAACTTTATCCGCTAATGGAATGTAAAGGAGTTTATTCGAATAGCATTCCGAGTACGCCGCGCTCCAGCTACTTTCAGGCGACCATTGTTACAGGAATTCTTGAAAATCCGAACAAGGTGGTGAAAAACGGGAGAGAGAGAGTTAAACTTCGCTGGTGGGCAAATTATATCGCTTCAAATGATGGAACCACCCCAGCACAAGCGACACATGAATGAATGGGTGTGACGTTTCCCACATTGTTCATTTGAAGTTGTCCGAGATGAGCCAACGACGTGATTGGCGCCTCAACTCGAGATCGAGCAGCACATAATCAGATGTGTTCGTGAAATAATTTGGTTTGTCCGATCAGTAACAGTCCGTATATTAAAATGACAGTGGTAACATGCATAGATACCGCCAGATTCGAGTTCCCTCCAAACCTGGTCCGCGTATCAACATTCAAGTTTAATGTTCTCTGATAGCAGGAATCCGCCTGTGTGTAGAATGCAGACAGACCACACACGCACACACGCGCGCCCTCGTTTGCGTCAAACTATAGACTCGTGACATAACCACCTGCATTCTGACGAGAGGAACGATAAAACAGGTAACCTTACGGGACACGTATGTATGTATGTAAGCACAAGCAGACTGAAATAACATTTTGTTGACTGCCATCATGAGCTGAACTTCGACAGACTAAGGACAGAAACCTCGCGGCAAAGTACAGCTTAGCGCTTCGTTTGTTTTGAAAGAGAATAATAATATATTGCCTACAATCACCGCCATAAATGGATATATTTATGTACCGATTGGGTTGGGTAAAAGCTTTTTTCGAAAAGTAGATTGGAGACTGCTCAATTGTATCAGTTATGTCGTTTATTCGTTGCCATGGAGACTTTTATACACGTCTGACGTATCAGATAACCTTATATACATACAATGAATAGTAATGCGGTTTTGGAACAAATTTTACTTCCAGAATTTCCAATGTATTTGCATACCGGTCATTAAGTAACACAGTTGAATACCAAATGCCAGTCAATAGCGCGTTATCATGAAGAGAGGAATGCAATTTTTTGACCTTTAACAAGAGGAACCGTAATCTGTTTGCCAATTGGTAATGCAAATCATCACACAATTTTAGTTCTATGAAATACGTGCTCTGGATTCGATCAAAGTTTCCTGTTTTGACTCCGTTAGCGTAATTCCATCATTATTGAAACAGAAAAAAGGGTAACTATGAAGAAGGAAAAATATTTGCAACAAGATCATTTCCATTTACCTCAGTCTTACTTCGGAAATTTCAAATAAAACCAAATAAAATGGGATCATGTCAGTAGAATAAACCGGTTTTATTACTTTAGATGATTATTCCCAGCTATTCTGTGCTACTTATCAAATAACTTTTTTTTCACGGGATCATTTCGCGTTTCTTCTAAGTTTGCTGCGTGATTTTCTCGCGAAAATATCCCGCAATATTTAACTCTGAAGTTCCTTTATTTTTCTTTGTGCTGCTGATAATAAACATTTGTATTGCGTAGTATTTGCGTCTCCCAAACTATAACTTTCCGTTTGTGAATTCTCACTGAAATTTACACCGTATGAACTTTCATGAGCCTCCACGGTGATTTTTCGAAATACATTAAATGCGGAGATATTCACTTCGCCTGTGTTGATGCCCAAAATTCACGGAGACTAAATAAATCATCTGAAACGCACAGGATCCAGGTTTGGAAGTACCAACATTTCATTGTGAATTGGTGTCCACTTATCGAGATCAAAGCAAAGTTTGGTCCGAAGCCGTCGGATAATCGTATTGTGACCGACATCAAACATTATTTAACTGAAAATGGCGCCGAATAATATTTTTCGTGGGGCATATGTACCGTATAGATAAAGCGTGTGCACCCATCAGTTTCGAAATCCCGCCTTGTTTTTTATTCCTATTGTGTAACCGTGACGTCAGCAGTCAGAGGTGGAAAATGTGGGTGCAACGCCGGATAGGTCCAGTTCTAAACCACACTTTCAGCTGAGCAGACAAGAAAAGTAGGCCAATTTTACTGTCTAAGCAGCCACATTACCGCCGGCTGAAGTATCACGGACAAATTGTCCGCATGAGTGAAGAAATCTGGACCGGTTTATGCCAAACAGAGATGCTTCTGATTCCAGTACGACATTCGGTTGTCCCTTAAATGGTTGTGTGAAGACAGCAGGAATTTGGCCTGTTCCACCGCGATATACCGAGGCTTGGGCATTACTGGTTCAGGATAAAGACTAACTTTATGGGGTCGAAGACTGCTGTCTACGCCGCCAAATGTGTTTTGAAAACCTAAGGAGAATGTTTTGTTTAAAGCAGTGGTACAGAACGATGAACAGAATACCAAAAACTGTTATTTGCTGACATGAAACGAAGAAGTGACCACTGATGAAGTGCTTTAGTTGTCAAAAATGACCCCTTTTTGTTTCCTACCTTGTTAGGATCATTCCATTTTCTATCAAACAATGATCACGGTTTTTAATACTTGGCAAAATTGAAACAAACTGTAGTTCTCATATAATTCTATAAGGACTACAGCCCTGTGAATAAAAGAAACAATCGATTCTAGGTTTGTAAGAGGACGAATCGCAAATGATAACCTATGAAAGAGACGTATTTATCCAAACAGCAAATGTAATAGCAACTGGTGATAAATAGCCGGGCGTGATCCTTGGGATCCTGGATTACTGAAGCATTAACATGTGCGTTCCGCCCCGTCCATAATAGTCCCAAAACGCGCGAACACAGGGAATTGACACAATCCATGCCGTATGAGTAAGCACTTGATTTCTTGTTCAATTCAACTGTTCCATTGCACGAAATTAGAACAATTTTGTTCACGAGGTGTCAACCGCGTTGAGCAGAAAAATGGTTTTAGCTCATTGAAACTACGAGGATGTATTTAAGTGAATAGGCAATCAGTTGCAATAGATTAAATTAAAAAGCGAATCACTAAATTACACGGAAATTGGTGAACTTCTCCAGACAGGGATATGCAGAGAGGCACCCATTTGTGTGAACTATCCATTCCACAATCAAGTACACAGGAAATCGCATAGGATTTCTGTGATAAATCTCGATGCCAGTTCTTGCTATGGTCCAAAACTATTCCTTCGATATTTGTGTTGTTTCAACAAACTACCGAAAAACAGGCAAACAAACTAGGTGCAACCTCTGTAGAAGTAAACCCGGTTTGTTTATAGTGATTGAGGGCTTGGTTCAGTCATCTCGATCCTAATCGTTCCTCGGTCAATCCTGCTAGGATGGCGTTTACACTGGCTATAGTGCCATATAGCTTCAAAAGTGGAAACACCGGACAAAGTCATCCCCATAGTTAGTCTTCAGTCTGCTGAATAAAAACTAGTTTAGATTGGAATAACGTTGCGTGAAGTCAATGTACCTAATGTCTGGTTGTGTTTCTGAATTCACATTTTGAGTTGAAGCTGCTGTTGGATCGAAATGATGTATAATCATATGCTGAATATAACAGTCCTTTTAAAAACGTGTTCTCCACTGTGCCACTGAGTGAGTCCATAACTTGCTCCCTTGACAAGGTATAGCTCCATTACACTACTGCGTACCGTTCTGACTCGGGGAAACAAACTGCAGCAGTATGGGTACTTTTCGGACATTATGATGGATGAATGATTTATCATGCTAAACTATCAAGACTGGGGTGCAAATTCCATTTGACGTGAACTGCATTCAACTGTATGTTTCATTCAGGGACTTAAGCCTAGGGCTCTTGATAACTTTTGTTTCATTTGTCAATGGGAAACTCTGGAGGTTTTTTCTTCAGATTAATATTGACGAACCATTTTGTGGGCATTTCAAAGATTGTCCATCACAAGGTTTTAATCTCACGAACTTTCAGCTTTTCATTTGTGATCGTTGTTTGAAGGATATATTCATGATTTTTATTTATAACAACACATGCTCAAGATACCCAATGTGATTTTGGTAATTAATATCTTATGACATAAACATTCAAGATGGATGATAGATTTATCATTGCGCGGTATAAACACATGCTCGAGGTAAATTGGAGGTAATTTGGAAAAAGTGAATGCAGCTCTCGAGCTGTTTACTCTATATTCTAATATTGTGGATGCTACTTTTTACGACGACAAATACTTTCGGACACACAACAGTCAGTAAACTGAAAAGGTGATACAACAAATGCAAGTCCGATACAATGAAAGATGTACCAGTGTGTGGTTGATGCTATTCATCGATCGACATTTTCCGGGCTTAAACGAGTGCAAAAAGGCAAGCGAATTTGTAGCAAAAACATACAATGGATCTATTGTCGGACCTCAAATCTCAGGCATGAATTCTGTTTTCAGAAAGCTTTTTCCGGTTTTCGATAGTTCAGTTGAGAATTCCAACAGGCTAGGGGTATTAAATCATCAATACAAAGGGAAGTAGGAATCATTTCTGGGCATTTTCGAAATAGCAAACTTGACTAAAATGACTTTTACCGTAATACGTTTGGAATGTTTGTTACAAAGAAATATTGGGCAAGCACAAGCATTCAAAACAACACGAAAAAAGAATAGGGGAGGTCTGAGCGAAATATTTTATTCAAAAGGTGACCATTTTTCTTTTGATGAGTTAGAACTTTCCGGCAGCTAAATGCCATCGCAATTTGTTGTATAAGCAAAGTGGATGGAAACCGAAAGATCTGCCCGATAGCTGGAGACGAATAACAGGATAGAATCATGGTGAAGCTGGAGAGAGTCCAACGAGCTGCCACCCGTATGATTGCCGGGTTACGCGGGTGTTGCTACACCGAACGATTGCATGCGACTGGATTGTTTCCGAAGTCCTATCGCCGAGTTCGGGGTGATATCATCTGTGTGCGACGCATTCTACGCGGTGACATGGGTCCAGAGTTGATGGAGTATTTCCCTCTGCGCGAGCAGACCAAGACTCGTGGACATGGACTTACGCTGTTGAAGCTTTCGTCCGTAGGATTACCTCTTCGGTTCCGGCTATCGCGAAGGGTAACCAACCTTTGGAACTCCCTTCCAGCTGACGTGGTGGAAGAGGTCAATGATAAGATGTTCAAGAGGAAGCTCGACAGCGTCCTGCGAACAATGTGGTATGCAGATCTATCATAAATGAGATCTTCGAGTCTGTGGTGATGAGGCTCATACGGGAAATTACCCTCTGCCTCTAATTGAAGAACATTGAACATTGAACATTGAACATCATTGCCTAAAGAATTGTAGTTATTTGTCCTCGATTAAAATATGTTTTCCGCCATCCAGTGTGAATCTCTTCCTTAAGTGCGTGTCACAAAATATTGACAAAAAATTGCAATTATCTTCACCAATATCGGGGTGGAAAGGAATAAGTCCATTTCGATCATCATTGAGGGAATACGCTTTTTTATCTCCAAATACGGTAAAACCAACAAAATTATTCTGCTAACCAGCTGACTGATTGACTGGGGCAATTGGGTGACAAGCAAGCAATCCGTCGGTGCAGTGCAGTGAAAGGATTAATGAATTATACATAATGACGTTGAGAATTATGTAAAAGCGTTTGAAAAAGTAGCAAACAAAAGCCGTTTGAAAAATGGGATGATGAAATAAATAGTTGAAGTGTAAACTGCTATAATTTTGGCATCACTTCGTGCGTTCGAGGTTTGTCTGTAAACCAACCTGGAAAGTTAACGAATACAATGTTATCTGGAAACTATCAGACAAACTCAAGAAAAAGGGCATACCGCAATATCCTCAAAGGAACAAATTTTAACATAAATGTCAGTGGCCTAGCATTACAGTGAGTGTTGAAAATTTCCGTGACATAGGGTGGAATAGAAGTATCAGTTAGACTTCGTTCTGCTTACCCAGGCACTTATATTCAGAAGAAACAGGACATCTAATGGATTTTTGAATTTTATTCCAAAGATTTTGGAGTGAAATACCAATGGCAAATACATGAACTCCAAGTTTATACGTGTATTGAGTGGTTGGTGGTCAATCACAGATTTCTGTGAGGTTTTCCTGTCAAAAACCGTTTAGAATGGAACCCTTTATTTTTATTTCACCATAGATACCTACAAAACATTCCAATGATAGTATTTCTAAACAAAATTGATGTCCTGGATGAGAGAATACGAGCGGGACAACGTATCTACCGATTACAATCGGCTGCTTCCACTTGGCTTGGTTCTCACGAGTTGCGTAAATGCGAGCTTTCGATGTTCTCCTTGCTTGAATGCCCGGACAATGGTTCCGCTAATCCCGTTGCTTCCGAACGAGAATGTCCGGTCGTACGGGTCCGGCGCTCCCGCACATCAAACACCACGAGCGTGGTCAATGACAATGGTGGTTATGGATTACGGAATGCCACAGGCACGAGACCGTCTATGACAGCCTCATCTGTTGGGATTCCGTTAATTGAGTCAAGTCCTTTGTACAGTCTGGACGAGTGCGGGGCCAGTTTAAAACCCCACAATTCGGAACTAGGCAGCACGCAGCTGTCCATTCGAGCTAGCTTGAGCTCATTCAACCGAAGCTTACGTGTCCTCAGTCCGATCAATTCCGTCCGTCGCTTCCGACGCAGTTTTCGTCAGGCATCTTTGCTCCCCGTACCAGCATCTCCCGATTCCTGTGGAATCACAAGTCGTGTCTCGTGTACGGTGCTCGTGGCTCGAGTAATACTCAACAATCCTTATCGAACGTTCATTCCAACAAGTAAGGATTTTGCTGTATTCTAAACAGAATGTCATGTTTACGGCGTCTCATTCAACATCTGCGTGCTTATTTAGAATGATTTTGGTATCCATAATCAAACGCTTTCGTTTTCAAGATTTAGAAAATGTTTCTAAATGTTGTTGCATCGGTGTAACCTCATCAGTAAAGTATTAGAGTATGTTAGAGTTGCGAGTGCATCAGTAGCCTTGATGGGATTCGAACGGACACAGATAAACACATTTCTTACCTTCGTATAATGCAAGCTATACCAAGTTACTCACAAATCCGCAAGAACAGCATTGATATTTCCGCATTGGGTTCACTTTCAGTCATGTGCAAATACCAGCTAATTGGAGATCATTTTAGTGCAACAATTTGTTAGCTTTTTACTTTGACTTGAATTATTGGATAAATATTTCTCTAGCATATATAAAAAGGTTTAAAAGATATTGATCAGGTGAAGAGTTTATCATCAGGATATTCCGTAGAGTAACGCATACGGGTATCACAGACCACATGCTGTAGTACTAGTGGTTACCGAAAAGGATTTTACATCAACATTTCTTAACAGTTTGTCACTGAAGATGACATGTGGATTAATCTGTTCCGGAACTTCTGTTCACCTATGGCGTGAGCGTATTCCCTAACCAGATTACTACACACATTCGATACAAATGGTACCAGATATTGAAATCACGAACAGTTGAATTAGCACCATGGAAAGTGCATCAATCAACTATTTTCTGGTGATCCGATAGACTCGGAGAGCTCAGATTTGTGTGCTTGTTCCACCGTATTCCACAAAACAGAAATGTCATCAGAAACAATTTCAAGTTTAAAATAGAAAAGGCAAAATATCCTCAATTTTTTAAATTATTGTTACCAAACTCTCTCATTTAAACAGTGGATGCTTGCAAATTAGAGCACCGTTGATCAGTAAGAACAGCGTCAAACCTGCTCTGTCACAGAACTATTAATGGCAATGAGTCAGAATGAATATGACGATGAGATGGTTTGTTTATTGTTGTTAAAAATAATGTTAGTATTATTATTATACAGGAGAATAAGGTGCTTATTCGGTCAAATTCATTTAGAGACAAATTTACTTATTTGACTTCCATCACTCAGTATCAATAAGGGGACATCTGTAACCCCCCCCCCCTCACTGTTTGCAGTTGCTCGTATCGACTGATTTGACGAACACAAAGTGGCAGGGTTTATGTATAGACAGAGCAAAAGTGGTGAGAATTACAATAAACGCAACCAATGGAAATGCGCTTTTCATGCCTAGGGTAATTCTCAAGTGCTTAGAAGCCATGGGCGGTTCCCTCCTACTTCCATGTCAAAATTGTCAACTGCATCTAGTGGTCCTCTGGGCTCTAAGTAAGTTGCACACACTATGGGCGACGCGCGTTGTACTTACAATAAACTGCCAATACCAATTTAGATTCCGGGTTGGCAAAAACACACCGTGGCAAGAAGTATTCAACGCCATCCCGGTGGACGATATCACGAGAAATATGAATTAATCGAGCATAAACAAATTGTCTTTGCTCTGTACCTCTCTCCCTGGCGTCAAACTATTCAACTTTATAGAGGAAATATTTTGATAAGAACTACGTTCATTGACGGTGAACTCATGAACATTTTCGTTACCGTGCGGTTCCATCAGTTCTATTTATTTGAAGAGCCCGTGATAACTCCGTTTACGAGTGCTGGTTCCGAATCTCTAGCGAGGGCGTGAATCAACCAAACCAAATACCACTTAAGACCATTAGTATTCATCGTTTGCGCAGAGTTGGGGAACAACGAACCGGAAGATTGCAAAAAGTATTTTCAATATTGGTTACATACATTCTATTTCTCGAGAATCTGTTGCCTCCATGGATCTTCGCATGCGATCAGTTAACTCATGATTTGAAAGTTTTGAATACTTTTGGGTTCGATATTCGATTGATTATTGAGTAAACAATTGATCATCGTCACAAAAATATTACCCATTTCTATGATTTATCACGCAGAATAACTTGGAAATATATTGTTCTCAACTCCACAGCTAACATGAATGACAAAACGTGTCTGATTACAGCATCCTACTCTGATTTGAATTGTTTCTTTCTAAAACATCCCTGAACAGAAAAACACTAATCTCCACCCGATTACGTTTGAATTCAATCGTTTATCAAATATTCAATTAACTAGAGAACTGCCTATAAAAACGACCGAAGATACTCTGTATCTACCTACTCGTGCTTTTGGAATTCTTATTTAATCCACTCGATTCCCTGAATCATTTCAAGGATTTCCCTGTATAACTTGCACAAGGCCTGTTTTAATTTGGCCTCTTTTTGAGCAATATAAAATGTTATTCAAGGTGAATAAACCACAGAAATGCACTTAGTATATCACAGTTAAGATGGTATATACCAAAAGCCATCAAAACACATTATCGGATAGCTATTGCGTCTTTCGGTGGGGATTCACACCAGAAATCTTTGGGTTGGAACCGCAATCCTTTACTTCAGAGCAGCGTGGTAGACAGTCAACATTTTGAGTCCAAGGTGTTTGCAGTTTGGACCGTAATTTCCACAAATCCCCCCAATGTATCTAGGGTTTGTTTGGAGAATGCATTCCCATGGTTTCCGATTCCGCTCCTTAGAAGTGCAACAAACATTAAACGTTTCAAAATTGCTGCAGTTATTTCCTGAAGATTTGTTTTCCTTCTGGATCAGTGGTGGCGTTTTGGCTACAAACACACAAGGATCAGCGTTCACGTCATTTACCTTTCTTGCTCATTTTATTGGATAACGCACAATGCATTTCACTGGGAATACGTTGTGCTCCAGCTACGGAGTATAAACCAGAAAAACGATTGAAGATGAGAAATGTTTTGCAGTAAAAACCTACAATTATGATAATCGTGCTGAATGCTAATGTGCACACGTGGATCAGAAGATAAAATGCATACACCTTCGAGGATACAAACGAAATTAAAATTATGCAGTAGACAAATGGTTAATTTATGATGTCCTACGTCACACAATACTGCCCAAATTTCAGTCTTTCGGTTATTTCAAACCCATTTGTATAGTGAAATTTGATAACATTGCACATTTCACAAAAAAAGTATTCGCAGTTACACTCAGTGAACCAGGCCTCATTTGTATGCAAATGCATAAAACTGGAGCATGTACGATAAGTAGCGGTAATAACCACATGGCGTTCCATCGCGTTCAACTCGATCAATATGAAAAACGCAGGCTCTTCATCAACTAGGAGGATACGCTTAAGATGTTGTATGACGTTTTGCCAATGCTCGGATGTTCGAAGTAGTTCATTATTTCCGTTTGATTCTCGGCGACTGCCACAGCTTCCCCATGATTCACTTTCATCTGTTACAAACTCCTGGTGTGAGATAGCAGTGTACATAGCTTTGGTTCACACTAATCGATGCTTCACTCTACCGATTTCTTTTTATTACGAAGCAAGAAACTCCCATCAAGTTACTGGTTACATACTTAGGTGAGATGCGAGCCAGTACGCCGGATTCCACTTCAAATACTAAATAGAGATAATTCGAAAGCGAAGATCAAGCCAATGAATTTCACCAAATTTGTTTCCCTACAGCCCAATATGCTCTTTTTAGCCATTCTGTTAGTACGAGGGATAGAATTATACGTGATCTACCGCAGATTCAGTTCTGCTTCCAAACATATTAATCAATTATGAGAAGGGACGAAATTGAGCCAATAACGGAGTCCATTTGTTTGAAACTAGCTCTCGGAAAGGAGAATACACCTAAATTCATGGAACGATTCTTTTTTGAAGATATTTATATATATATTAGTTTCTGGCTGGTACAAAAACGCTATTTCACCTCTAGGCCTTATCAAAATTGACGTGGAATATTGATTCCCCTCATGCAGGAAATTTCCATATAACCGTTCAGATATTTTTTGCGTACACAAAGTATCCAGAAATACCCATCTCCCTGAATGGTAACAAAGGTTGCGCGGATAACGTATGAATAATATAGCCACTTTCATCCAAGACAGAACAACGCATATGTGCACTGAAAGGTGAGGATGCACTACCAGCTATTTCGTCCCTTATACGCTTCATTAGGAACACCAATACATCTACACAACTGAGACTAAAAAGTTAAAAAATAAACAGGTACAGCACACGAAGATTGCCCAATTGATCGATGGATAGACGTTGGTCTCATTCCATCTAATAACCATATTTGCAGAGTTGACTCTGAAGGGAACGTGGATTTATTTAATATTTTACAAACTAGATTGGAGTGACCAACTTTCAAATTCTCTCATTTTTGAAGTCCATTGACACCAATTGGCGGGTACGTCATTCATATTTGTAGTTGTCGCTGGGAACCAACACGTATTGGCCATCTTCTATGATGCACGATCCATACGCCTTTCTAAGCGTTGATTTTGTTCTAAATGATGTATGCTATCATCATCAATATCGCTCATTAGGCACTTCCCGTCTAACTATTCATTCCAACTTTGTTCCAATCCAAACATTCGAAACAATATATATATTTGTCTTGCACAAGAAAAACTTACTACGACTTTCAAACATGTCTGTCATTCTCGCTGGTATTTGCACATTTTATGTAATTCCATACCTACAGAAAGAACACAAATGTCGCGAGATATTAAAGTTTCATGTAATCTTCTCATCATCCCCCGAGTCTATGCGCACGAACGCCCCTTGATACAAGCAATCCAGTTACCGTGGGTTTGACCTCGGCGCCTATACTTAGTAAACTTTGTATGCTTGTACACTTTTGTTCACCGCATTTGACCAATTACCTGCGCTCTACACTTGTTTGTTTGTTTGTTTGTGTGCGATTGATTAGATTAAACGAAAAGTTAACACCTCGTGACTTTTTTTTCTGTGTATTGATGAAATGGTTATAGGGGCTCAACATTCAACTCCCTTCATCATTGAAATTAGCATCGCTTTCTCTGAGCAAGGAATGATGGACTTGTTGCTT